GGATTCTCCCTCTCTGGGGTAGGGTGGGGACCTAGAGATCTTTGGCCACAATACCTGCCCAGAGCTAGGCCAGGACAACAAGGAGGAAGCTGAATTAATAACCACTGAACAAAATCAATTATCTGTAAAATAAGCGGTCCCATTTATAAAATTAATCAAACTCCCCTTTGAAGAATTGCAGATGCTATTCTCTCTCTCTCTCTCTCTCTCACACACACACACGTACCCCATTCCTTTGCACAAAAACGTCTCACACATATTCCACTTCTTCCTTTCAGAAGACACACCAAAAACCCAACTGAAATCAACAGAATGGAGGAGGAGGAGAGGAGAACAAAACTGGGTAGTGATGAGGGGAAGGAAGAAAGAAAGAGGCGCCATGTTTAGGCATTACAAACAGGGCTATATTCGTCAAGCAAAACACACACGCACCGCCCATAGGAGGGAACCTTCAGGCAGGCATCTCCTTTGCAGCAAGAGGGTCTCCTGCCCATTCCTTGGTTCCTCATAGCTTCTTCTCCTCTTTTCCACCAAACCAGGGTCATCTCCCCCTTGATTCCCAGGTAATTGTTTTGGGGCAAAACCCTCCTCACTTTTCTGCTGGGGAAATACAGTACCTACAATCCTTTTGTGTAAATGGAAAAACGTACACACAAAGGAGGAAAATTCCTCCTTTGGAGACAGAATCATAGGAGATAAAGCACAATCTTTAATTCTCATTGGAGCTCTCTGTACTTTAGAGTTTCTCAAGTTTTGCAGTACCAGGATGACCTAAAATGATGAATCAGTTGACTTGACTCCATCCCCAGGAGTAAAAGAAACAATTCCACTAGCATCAGGGTTGGACAAGAAATAAATATACCATTTACTGTTAATAGTTACATGTTAATCTATACATTAGAATATAATATTGGAAGAATATAATCTGTTCAAAAGAAACAGACCCAACCAAAGGGGGAAGGGAGTATCACATTACACATAAAGAATATCTACACTTGTATGGAAATTCATGACACCAAGAGTAAAAACCTGCTTAAAGTTTCTGGATGAAAATCAAGGGACAAAGGAACAAAAATGCCCAGGCCACCCAACCCAGCAGAAGATATAGATGAAACCTTCACCAGTCAGACGGTTGAGGAATTTCAGCGGTCTGGACATTAACTGGGAATCAAACTCTGTGGCCAGTGGGAGGCCAACAGATTGTTGGTGTGCCTTGCAGGCAACTTCATCATCCAAACAGTGGAGGAAAGAACTACGGGGCCAGCTAAACTAGACTTGATACTTAATACAGGGAAGAAATAGTTGAGGATATGGAAGTTGCAGGGGGGTTGGGAGAGAGGGACCATGTCATCCTGGAATTCACCATACCGCAGACAGGGAGAACTGAAGGGAGACAGATTAGTGTTCAAGGGAACTGACTTCCACAAGCTAAAGGAAAAAGTAGGAAGAGTTCCATGAATAGAAATCCTAAAGGAAAAACAATTCAAGAGGGCTGGGAAATTCTGAAAAATGAGATAATTGAGGTCTAAACACAAACACCAAAGAGAAAGAAAGATGGAAGATCAAAGTGGTTGCATAAAGAGCTTTCTGATAAACTGAGAAACAAAAAGGACAAGTTTAAAAAATGAAAAGGGTGCATGTAACAAAAGCGGAGTATCAGAGAATAGACCAAATATGTAAGAATGGGGTCAGGATGCCTAAAGCTCAGAATGAGGTTTGCAATGACTGCCAGAAATAATGGTTCTTTAGGTACGTGTGGAACAAGAGGGAAGTCATGAAAGTGATCGCTCCATTGGTTGTAGAATATGGCAAGATGGTGATGGGCAACAGGCAGAAGGACAGATTGCTTAGTTTCTGTTTTGCAAATGGAAAAGGTAGTCCAGCATGTCAGGAACTGGCAGAACTACTGACTCCTAAAATGTAAGGGAAGTGCCAGAAGACTGAAGAAGAGCTAATGATGCTCCTATATTTAAAAAAGGGGAAAAATGGACCCAAGAAACTATAGATTTCAGTCAGCCTGACTTCAATACAGGCAGTCCTCACTTACCAACCGCCTGGTTTAATGACCGTTCAAAGTTACAATGTTGTTAAAAAAATAGCTTTGTGACCGCTCCTTGCATTTACAACCATCACAGTGCCCTAACCCTGTGGTCACATGATCACCATTTGTGTGCTTCGCCACTGGCTTGCGACAAGCAGAGCTAATAGAGAAGGTAGAAGTAAAATTGTAAGTCACAGTCACGTGATGTTCTGCTTAATGACTGCAGTGATTCACTTAATGACCGAAGGGAAAGTGAGGTCATAAAATCATTGCGGTCATATGATGTTTCACTTATGATCACAGCAACAGAGTTGTGGTCCCAATTGTGGTTGCTAAGCAAGGACTACCTGTAGCTGGGAAAATCCTAGAAAAAAGAGAGTCAGGACCAGAAACATTGGAACAGGGATAACTGTTTTGGCATTTGGCTTCTGTACACCACCACATTGAAGCTGAAAGGGAACACACCCAGATGGGAACGAAGTCAGGACTTTCAGCTGTAATTCAAGGGGTTTGACAAAAGTGGGGCACTAACCATTCAGGAAGTACAGCCAGTGGCCTACACACACACCCATGACCCAAAGTTATCCAGCAAGCCTCCATGCTTACGGGGGATCTGTTCCATCCACCCTGGTCCTAGTCCACAATGTAACCACTTCACCATGGTGCTCTCATTATGAGTACTTTGCTAACTTTATCAAATGCATCCTTGCCCATTTCGTGTGGCAGCCATTTCTCAGAATGGTCCGAACAGTGTTTGCGTGCAGCCCTTCTGTTCCACTCAGTTCCCTTTCTGCACCCTTAGCTTTCATGTGGTTCTGCAGCTATTCAGACTTCCAGAGAAGATGTGCGTGACTTGCTTCAGAAAGGTGCCACTCACTTCTTTATTCATACATTAAGAAGGCTGCCTAGAGCTCAGAGCCATAGTTAGCTATGGTACAGGTAATTTGACAAGAAAGTTTAGGCTGAAAAAATGTTACAATCATTCAAAAAAGGCCTGTAGCCAACTTTCAGTAAAACCAATCTTGGCTCCCCCCCCCCCCGCCCCCCAACATGTGCAAATGCAAGCATTTCAACCACTTGCTTTCATAGATGCACTCCAAAAAAGGACTGTGGTGGGACAAAGACTAAATTAATATTA